CATGACTCCCCCCTATTTGATCTACTTCCTTCTGAAGGTACTCCAGTACCTTGATCTTGTTTGATGCTTCAAATCCATCCAGCTGATTGAGGAGCTCCAGCATAGTACGCTGCACCTCACTGTCACCATTGCCACTGCCAGATTCCATTCGAGCGGATCCAATACTATCAATTTCATCCATGAAAATAATTGATGGAGCATGCTCTCTGTGACAAAATCATCAACCCATAAATCATACCGAGATATAAGATGTCAAATGTGAAGTAGAGTATATAAGCAAACAGATTTGTGGGCTATAAACGAACAGGTAAATGGTGATCAAAATTAGGCTACAACTAAGCATTTGAAATGTAAGAAGTTAGAGCATGTGAGATGACCAACTCTAGAAAAAAAAAAGGATAAAATATAGAGCATGTGAGATGACCAATTCTAGAAAAAAAAAGGATAAAATATTTCTTTCAAATGGATCATAGTTTTCAAAATCAGAATGGTAACTTTATTTCTCCCAAGCTGCAACTTTCTAGAATGGAGGCATAATGTGTTGTGCCTGGTATGCCAGAATTGCAGTTTAACTCATGCCACAAACTGTAATCTGACAACATGGCCCCTTTTCCTGATTATGGTTTATTCATTAAAATAGTGAGCCCTGCTGCCTTCTATCACAGCAGTTGAAAATAAAAGATGGGAGGAATTTAATCATATATAGTATATACTTCAAGAAGAGGGCCTTAAAACACTAAGAATCAATTGAGCGCGAGGCGCAAGTAACAAAAGAGACGGACCTTGCCATGACAAAAAGCTCTCTGACCATTCTAGAGCCTTCTCCAATGTATTTCTGAACTAATTCAGAACCAGAAACCCTGATGAAAGTACAGTCAGTGTGATGAGCCACTGCCCTAGCCAGTAGAGTTTTTCCTGTGCCAGGAGGTCCATAAAGGAGAACACCCTATGACATGAGGGGAAGAGACAGAGAGAGATTTAGTCCAAAATCCAAGTACACCAAAGGTGTGAATTAACAGATGGAAAAAACTTAATGACACTATACCTTTGGCTGAGCAATTCCAAGACTCTCAAACAATTCAGGGTGTTTGATTGGAAGTTCAATGACCTACCAAGGTGTCAAGACAAAGTAACAGGAAGCAATGAGAAAATCAAAAACCTAACATGGCTGTTATAATCACAGACCAAGGAAATCCTTGGACGGAACCAAAAACAAATGAATATACAAACCTCCTTAATCTCTTTAATTTGTTGATCAAGACCACCTATCATGTCATAAGTGGAATCTGGAACTTTTTCAACCTTCATGAGGTTGACCAAAGGATCCACTTTGCTTGGCAAGATCAAGTGAAGAACATAGCTGTCATTGCGAAGGGCAACCCTTGTTGATGGAGTGATCTTTGTGATATCAATACTTTTATCAATATCAACAACATACTTCCCCTCTGGATGAACCTAAAAAAGGGACACTTAGTTTTATCTATACGTTAATAACACATCAATATTCCAATACTTTTGAAAGCATTGAGTGCTTACCACCAAAATACTGAATAGAGAACGGACCATGACGGCATAATAAAAAGTATATTGACTTGCATTGAACAAAAAGAACAGATACTGTACCTTAACTAACACCTTGTTCTTCCCCATTACTTTGACAACTTCACCAACATATGACCCAGGCTCTTGAAGTAGCTGTGACTCTTCTCTAAGCATCCTCACTAAACATTTCAAAAGTTAACAATGTCATTCAACCTATACGTTAAGTAATGGCAGATGCAATCCATCATCAAGTTCACGAATCGCGTAGCATAAAACCGAAATGATCGTGCAACCCATCATAAGCTTATATATCCCACGAACCGTAGTAGCTAACTAAATCACCAGAACAAGGACAGGTTCCCAAAATTAGGAATAATTTACAAAAAGACGTGTACATATTCATTGTATTCTGTTATTTCCCCCTAAATATCTGGTATTCAATTATTATTGTTGTTGTTGTGGAGAAGGTAAGAAAAACCCTAGCTAAGCTATCAACAAATCGAATAATGGAACCCTAACTAATATATTATGATCTCTCTATTCGTCTACAGAAAAAATAAAAAAACTAATAAATCTGAGTCGAATTAAAACGCACCTCTAGAATTAAGGCCATTGCGTTGCGCTTCAAGGCGATTAAGATTGTGGGATTTTTGGCGGACAAGGAGCTGAAGCTCATGGATGTGTTGGAGATAGTACTGCTTCAAACCCTCTCCTTGCCTCGCCGCTCCCGTTTTCGCCGAGCAGCCCTCCTCCGCTATCATCGTCATCGTTGATTCTGTTTGCTGCTGCTGCTTCCTCTCCACTCCTACAGTTGCCATCGCGATTGATTGTTTTTTTTTTTTTTGGTTGTTGCAGATATCGTTATTTAATTTAAAGGTTTCTTTTCTGGTAAGTCAAAAATACTATTAATTAATCTAAATTAAATGGCAGGCAGTCCCATCCCATGTCTTTGTGGGCCTGAGGCGATTAGGCCCTACAGCATACGGTCTCATCAGTCGGTGCTCCTACTACTCGAGTCCATACCAAGTGTGGGTGGTGTTGTGCTCCTATTTATTTTTCTCGACCAATTTTTATTTTTGGTAAAATCCCTCCTCTCGCACTTGAGATAGGCTAGGAAAGTTCAATTTTTTTTTATATAGAATCTAATATATTAATCTCGCCATTAGTTTTTTTATTTAATTATAAAAAATAATGTTCTATATCAAATTTATAGCTAACAAGATTATGATATATACATGAAAAAAGCTTATTAAAATAATAATATTATGTTCCACACGATGCACAACTTATATATAAAAACTGTTGAAAATATGTTATATGGCTATATGCATATTTATAAACTCGATATAAAAATGTAAAATTTAGGACCAAAAAAGAAATCTAATTCCCTAACTAGAGAAATTCTGCTTTCAACTAATTTACCCATGCATTTTGGTTGAGTGTGTGAGTTTTCATGTCTTTTATAATTGATTGTAAAGGATAGAAAAAGGGAATAAATTATATATTATTCTCCTAAATTCGAGTCATACACAAATGGGGATGGTAACAAGTTTGATCATTATGTGCTTTTGCATCCTCATCTCTCATCTCTAGTGTACACTTTGGAAATGGTAGGTTCAATCCTTTTTATTGCATATTTGGTGGAGTTCAGCTCTCCACCAGGCTTGCTTTGAGTATCTTTGTAGGGTTAGTACTCTTCTACTTCCTATAAAAAACAAAATACAAGGACCAAAGTAAATTTTAAAAATATTTCAAGGATCAAAATACACATCAGTAGAGATTTAATGCTGTACGAACATTGTAGATGTCAGTTTTTAATGGCCATTGTATCACTAATTAATGGAAGGATGTGATTATAGTGAAAATATAAAGATGACATTAAAATAAAATAATAAGGAAACCTTAAAAAAAACAAAAAAAGGAGAGTTGAACTTGGAGTTCTACCTAAAAAGAAAACTTGGACACCAATAGCCGATCATAGTAGAAAAACACCACCTTAAAAAGAAAAAAGAATATATATATAAATATATATAACCTCCTCAAAATCGGGATGGCATCAGTGTTTGTGGGCATTTCCTTGGAAATTTGGAGTTTTTTTTTCCTTTTTTCTATTATGGAATTCCGAACTTCTTATAAATTCGTTTCCAACGAAAAAATGTTAATTCAAATGTTTTGTTTGTTTTCGTATTTAATTTTTTTTAAAATTAATTTTTTTTCAAATTTTTTATATTATTTTGATATGATATGTCCAAAATAATTTTTTAAAAATAAAAAATATATTATTTTAATATATTTATAAATAAAAAATACTTTAAAAACAACCATCAATATTTTCAAATACACTCTAATAAGAAATTCATCACCTCCATCTCACTCCTATATATAAACCTTCCTCACATGCCACTATTTAATTTTTTAAAATCAAATTTTATTTTTATTTTATTATTTAAATAATAAATTTATTTTTTATTAAATTATTTTATTTTCATGAAACAAATTGTGAGCTAACTTGATTGATTTTTTTTTAAATTAATTTTTTTACTCAATTTTATTTTTTAATATTAAATTGAATGAAAATTAATTTTTTTTTTTATTTTTTATTAGATTATTTTAAACTCATGACCCGGGAATAATGCTTAACATCTTAACCGGGGTTAACTCGGGTTATTTTGTGTTTTTTTTTTAATTGAAATTTTCTCTAATTCCATCATTTAACATTAAATCGGTTGGAGATTAAACTCTATAATGTGTTTTGATTTTTTTTATAGGGATATATTAATCTAATGATGAAGTTTGCAAGTTTTGAAATTTTAATCTATGTTAAATTGGGTTATTTTTTTAATTTTTTTGTTAAGTTATTTTGATTTCATAACCCATGTTAGAAGTCCTTCAACATTAGACTTGCCTTTTACTATGTTATTTTCATCTCATGACCCGAGTTGCAGGTTTAGTATGTTAAGCCAATTAATTTATTTTATTTTATTAAATAATATTATATTTGATTAAAAATTAAGTTTCATAATTTATTCTAATTTATTTTTTATCAGGTTATTTTAACCTTATGACTAGAAAATAGTGCTTAATGAATTAACTTAACTTATTTTTTATTATTTTATTATTTTAATTATTATAAATTTCACCATTCAATATTGAATTCAACATGATAATTAAAAATTGAGTTTTATAATTTATTTTAATTTTTTATTTATAAAGTTATTGTAATTTTATGATTAAAATCATGTATTTAATATATTAACTCAAGTCAAATCAAGTTGTTTTTTATATTTGTTTTTTTATAAAATTATTTTAATCTTATGATTCGGATAATGAATTTAATAAATTAACTCATGTTATTTTTAAAATTTTTAAAAAAATTTTCTTTAAACTTAGCCTAATTGAGAATTTGACTTCGTTATTGCCAATCAATTAAGCTGTCTTGGCTCACGTAGACCTGCCCATGAAAACAATTTCATGTTTCTTCTGGTAGCTTCAAATTCGAAATAAAGATACATATTGTTCATTTTGAACAATTTGATGGGTACTGCATCAGCTGATTGCCTCTTACGATGGCACCTAAACTAGCTTCATTGTCACAAATAGAAGAAATTGTACTGAAAGCTGTAAAGATGTAAATCAGCATTGCTCTAGTCATCCACCATAGCCAGATAAAGAAAATCCGATTCCGTAAACATACCAGGTCAGACCGAACTAAACAAGCAGCATTGCCAAGCTGTTTCTAAAAAGGTGGTGTGTTTGAAAGCAGCCGCTCAGCATGCAAGCAAACTCTCTAGCAGCTCAAGTTCACCATGGATGTCTCACAAGGTTGATCATGAGATCAAAAATTTATTTTCAGCCCAAACTCCTGCAGATCTATTTCGACTCTCTATGTCTCTGTGGCACCTATAACGCACACAACGATGCATTGCAACCCTTTCCCTTACCTGATGGATAAAAGATGGTCAGAAAAAAACACTGAATAATATTTAAGCAGAAGTCAGTAAACTTAGACATTAAAGCACCCCCCCATTAAATACGTGCACAAGCATGTCGGCACATCTGTAAGTGCGTTGAAAACTAATTGGCAAGGATAACAACGTGCTTAAATCAATTTCAGCTAGTTTTGGTTTCTGAGTTTTAAAGAAGATATCTTGAGACTGCTATGAAACTCGAGCTTTAATGAATTGATGTGTTCCATGACTCCATAAACCAGCCACCACCACTACATGGAACAATACAAAGATAGTGAAACATATAATGACAGCCACACTAGGCCATGTGTCACTGTCACTCCCAATACGGAACTGATGATGTAAAATAACAGACAGCAAGCATAAGAACACAGGGAGGGAATATCAAGCTGCAATGTGTTTCGGTGCTTTACCTTTGCACAAAATATAAGAACTATAATTCCCTTCCAGCTCAACAACAATTCCTTTTCATCTGGACAGCAGGTCATAAGTGCATCCACAAAAACAGTCCTTCCATTTTTTGCTAATGAATCCATAGCTCGTATACCCAAAATCCATCACTTCAACAATTAACATTTTCGAACCAAATCCTTGATATGCTGCCTCTACACTTAATTATCACCAGCCTTTTTTTAAGAAAAAGTTATAATTTATCATCAGTGTTGAAAAGGTTTGAAGATGCATGTATTATCATTATCTATAGCACAAATAAAAAAAATGACACTATTTTTTAAGGCATCAGCTCAGGATATGCAAGTCTTACTTGATCTTATGAAGACAAGCTATGTTTTCAGGCATGATGACATTGGAAGGAAAACCTTAGATCTCTAAAAATCAATTCCTTTTGAATTATCTATTGAGGTATAGAATTGTTTTCTTATCCTTAAGTAGCTGTTCTGGGATACAATAGTGTTCTTAGCCTGTTTATGGTGCTACTGCTGAGGCTTTTAGAGTTCTTTAGCAGCCATTCAACAAAGATGGAATGCGTTTTATCTTGATTTTCTATATTTTGTTTTCACTTTACAGACTGCGCTGCTCTATCTTAAAATATTGTGGCCAATTTTTTTTAATTAAATTTTTTCTACTTTTAATAAAGATTTTTTTTTTTGGTAAAAATTAGAGCAACCATTAATAAGATGGGAGAAAATATCAAATATATAATTTTTTTTATAATTGAGCAACTGCTGGGAGATGATTGCCCAAGTTCTACATGATTGTATCATTATCTCCATCTCTTTTAATTGGTATGCCCCAATCCGACCCTCATCAGTAGAACAAAAGCCCAAGGGAAACCATTGACCAAACAGAAAAACATAGACAAACTGAGTATACAATTATCAGAGACATTTTCCAGAATATATAAATTTAGACAAAGCAAAATTTACCTTGCTGATCAAAGAGGTCAGGTCAGATTGCAGTTCAATTGAACATCCAGTTTCCTCGCGATGTTTAATTGCGTTCAATTGGTTGATATTGTGTACAGGAGTACCTGAAACTCCATTACTTGTGTATAAATCTTCCAACTTGAGAACCAACCATCTGCATAAGAAAACTTAGTAAGTTCAACTGAAACACAGAAGAAAAGTTAAATATCATCAGCATCAACTTTGGTTCGACCATTTCCATTCAGAGTGGTTTTCAAGTTTAATCAACGTCCATGAAACTAATAAAGTTGCTATATACAATGCTTCTACTGTTATAACTGAAAACCTGAACAATCCACAGTTTACCACTCACCTCCAAAGTAATGTTTGGAAGCCTTGAATCGGGCATAAATGCTACAACTTTTCTTCTAGCAGTCACCAGAATGCTGCTACCTGGAAACTCATTTAACAGATCTGCATCTGCAAAGAGCTCATGAAGCAACAATGAAATCAGTGAACTGGCATCAAAAACCGTGTCTGGACAGTTAACCCATCCAAGCAAAGGTGCCAGAAAAGCCTTGTGCCTTGAATTTTTATTTTCTAAAATTAGAAAAATCTAAATCATCTCGAGTTTGAATATTAGGAACTGCAGGATTGCTGTTGCCATGAATTAGACCCTTTTCCATCAATTCATTTTGCAGTTCAGTAGCTTCATCGATATTTCCTAGTTCATAATGCTTTCTCAATAGTCGAGTACACAGAGTCTCATCAGGAATGACACCCTTTCCAATCATCTCAGCAAGAAACTTCCTTGCTTGCCGCACTTGGCCACATTGTGACAAACCCCAGACCAGGGAAGTATATGCATACAGATCAAGTTCTATACCCATTTCCATCATCTTGTTTTGCATATTCAATGCTTCTTGAAAGTTCCCATGCTTCAAATTTCCATCTATCATTGCAGTATAAGCAATTTTATCTGGAATCATATTTTTGTCTTGCATTTCATCAAACAGCTTCTTTGCATCTCCAATACAATTATTTTTACAAAGACCATCAATAAGGGCTGTATAAACTGCAACATTGGGCTGTAAATCATGGTCTGGCATCTTGCCAAAGTAATAAATTGCCTCTTGAACTAAACCCTTTTTGCACAAACCGTCAATTAATGCGCAAAATGTCACAACTGTAACCTCAGTACCCAAGTCCTGCATCTCTTCTAACAGATTGATTGCTTCTGTGCGCTTCCCTGCCTTAAAGTAAGCATCCATTAGTGTTGTATATATGACAGGGTTGGCACCTATACCAGACTCCTTCATTTCAGTCATTATAATCTTACATTCTTCAAGCTTACTTTCACTGCAAAGACCCCAAACAATGGTTCCCCAAAGCAATATGTCTGGTTTGATATCTTTTTCTCTCATTTCATTGAATAACTCCATGGCTTTATCCATGCTCCTAACCTTGATGTACCCATGAATAAGGGCAGTATAAGCTTGCAGGTTAGGAGCTACCCCAGCTTTCCCCATTGCCCTAAATAACTCTTCTGCTTCATTCATCATCCCTTCTTCGCAAAGGCCATCCAGCAAAGTCGTGTATGTAACAATGTTCAAGTCAACATGTTCATGCAGCATCTCATCAGCCAGCATGAAAGCTTCACCTAGATTGCCAGCTTTACAGTTTGCATCAATTAAAGAACTATATGTGAATTCATTGGGTAACAAACCAACACGGGTCATATCCACAAAAAATTTAATTGCCATTTGCATCATCCCCTCCTTGCATAAAGCATCGATTAATGTGCTATAAGAAATGACATTTGGTTTCAAATCTTTATCCTTCATCTCCCGAAAAAATTCAAAAGCTCTAGGCATTCCTTTAAATTTACAGAAAGAGTTAATCAAGGCATTGTAGGTTATTACATCGGGTTCGCAACCCATGAACTTCATTTCTTCAAATAAGCAAACAGATTCATCCAGCAACCCAATCTTACCATAACCATCAATAAGTGTGTTATATGTAACAATATCTGGCGTTAACCGCATCTTTTTCATCTGTTCAAACAAGCTTCTAGCAGTCAGCATATCCCCTTCTTTGCACACATGACCTATCATAATATTATATGTAAATACCGTTGGGGCAATACCAGCCCCAACCATGTCCCTAAAAAAATTCCTTGATAAGTCCCCTTCCCCTGCCTTTGACAGCCTATGCAAAAAGGCATTACAAGACCGTGCCTTTGGCAACACCCGAAACTTGGTCATCCTCAAAAAACACTGACCAGCAGCCTCAAGCATTCCTAGTTCAACCAAAACACTAAACAAAGCATCAAAAACACCAAACCCCGGAACACAAACATTCCTCGTAGTCCATAAAATTTCAAAAACATCAGAGCCCGGCAAAACCCAGCTGGATAAAACCAATTCTTTCAGAATATTATTAGCATGGAAGTACATTCTAGCATAAAACAAAATGTGCACTAATATACAATAGGATTCAGTAGTGTGGCGAAACCCCACTCGGGTTTTAGCCCATTTGAAGAATTTCAAAGCCAATTTTGGATCTTGTTTGAATTCAACCAAAACCCGAGACACCCATATTGGGGCTAAGGAAGACTGAATTGAACAAACGACTCTTGGGTCATTCCATTGGTCTTGTTGAATGATTTTAGTCATTGAAACTTTGTCTAAAACATCAAAAAAATTGGTGGGGTTTGAGTTTGATTTGGTTACAAATGGGAACCTAAGTATGCAAAGGACGCCAGTGAAGCAGCAAGATATTAAACAAGCACGTGTAGTTGTTGTTGAAGGTGAAGAGAAAATGGAAGAGAGGTGATGATTACAAGGAGGGCTTACTCTTCGAGTTAAACTGCTACCCAAATTGCGGAGATAAATTAACATTTTGAAGAGGAAACTGATAGCTGCTTCAATATGCTTCATTTGTGTTTTGATGCAATCATAGTTTTTTGTGAGGGATTTTGGTTTAGGTGATAGAAAAATTAGGGTTTATGTATTAGGAGACACAAGGAGGGTTTATGAGCGTTTTTAGATGTTCTCGGTAGCTACGGTGCGTACCTGTGTCAATTCTGAACATTTTTAGTATATGGAGTCCTATGACTCACGGGCCAAGCCCATGCTTTCTATGTTTAATATGAAAATTAACTTATAGCATCCCCCTTATATTTTTGGTCCTTGAGATAAGGCGGTCGCATCCAAAAAAAAAAGTGTAAAAAAATAAATAAAGATAGTGCTAACGTGTTTTTTTATAAAAATAAAAATTTAAAAATAAAAAAATCTAATGTGTGTCAAATGATACCTTTTTAAAATATAAAATGACATTTTTTTGGGTTATAATATTTAAACATCAATATATTATATTTGCTTAAATGAATTGTAGTTAAACCATCAAAAATAAGATCCTAGTAATAAAAAATAAATAAAAATATAAATTAAAAAATAATTAAATTTTAATTTTCAACCAACTTAACATAAAATAATAAAAATTAAAAATTAAAAAAATACTTTAATAAACCTGTTAAACATGCAATCTCAATTGTAAGATCAAGATATCTCTATCAGGGATAATGAAAAAACACTATTAAATTTAATTTTAAATAAATTAAATGTTATAGAAAATAAAATGAGTGAATAAAAAAAAAGAATGAACGCCCCCTGCCCGTGGAATTTAAGCCTGGACTCCTCCTCCGAGGAGGAGTTGAATGTCCGTGCAACTTGGACCTGGACTCCTCCAAGGAAGAAGAGTTGAATGTTTGTTGTTAAAATTTAGTTTTTATTTTTAAAATTTTTCTAGATGAATAAAATTTTATTTTAAAAAATAAATGTTGATTTTTTCTTAAAATTGTACGAACTGCAACTGAAATTAGTTAAATTAAACTATCAAATTTGATCTCAATTAAAAAAATAAAAGGAAAGAAAACCCGAGTGAAAAAAAAAATACATTACTGTTAAATTGTAAGCTTACAATTTTTAACTAGCACCGTGCCTTAATTTGTTCATCCACTAAGTGGTGTCAATGTCTAAACATTTATATTTTATAAAAACGGGTATTTGAACACAAAATTTAATTTTCATATTGCATTTACCATTTTTCTTGGAAAATCAGAGCAATTAATTTAAAATAAAATTAATAGGGCTTAACATTCCACCATCCATCAAGACACGTGTTATTGTGATATGAGATAGTTAAAAGATCATCTTTCCCTTCTCAGGCAAAGCTATTTAACTAACAATTAGAAGAAAACAATCTTTTTGATGAGATTCATTTGCTATTAATATTGAACATGAACAAATCAGTTTTTTTTTATATTTTATACGTATAGTAAAATAATTTTAATATTTTTAAAAGCAAAAAAAATAAAAATAAACTTGGAGTTCATGGGCTTCTCAGTGTATTACCACCTTGTTGCACGAAAAAATGACTACAATAATACCCAAGGTTATTTTATTATTTTTATCATGTTTTTCTTGTTGTAATTAATTTGGATGTTGATAATTTAGTATTTTAACAAATACAAATATAGTTTTAAAAAATAAAAATAACTAATGTATGCCAAATAAATATCAGCAAGTAAAAGAAATTCATGTTTTTTGAACAATACAAGTGACATTTTCCATGTGGTAAAATAATATCATTCATAATGGCCCTTGAAGAGTTGTGCTGTTCTCTTCTTGGTGTTTAGTTGGTGTGTATTATGGAGCAATAATTAAGCTTCGATGAACTTTTATCTTTATCTTTTTTTTCTCTCTCTCTTCTCATATTAAATTTCACTTAAGTCTTTGCAAAAAATCAAATAAATTAACCTTTTTTTATTAGTTCGTGTTTGTAATAATTTTAATTTTTGTTTTTTTAATAGCTATTTTTTTTACTTTTAATATTTTTTAAAATTTATTTTATTTTTATTTTTATTTCTCATCATTTAATTTTAATATTTAATTTGATCCTTATTACTTATTACTATTTTTATTGTTTTTTATTACTATTTTTATTATCTTTTATTTTTTAATTTTATCATCTGATATTTTTTTTATTTGCTCTTGGTGTTAAAATTAGTTTTTATTTTTTATTATTATATAAATTATGGGTAATGAATCTCATCTCATTTTCTATTACTTAAACAATTCTTATTTCTTTTAACAAGTAATTTATAATCTTAATTTTTTCTAGTGAGCATGGGACCCCTGAATTTATACAATAATAATTTTCTATATCAACATAATTTGAATTTTGTAACGGCAAAGCATGAAGTTGGGAAGACATCTGTTAAGATATAACGGCGGTGATTCCTACTGATTGGTGTTCAGGCTCAGGAGGTTCTATTCAGAAACCGAATTTCCTGCCCTCTCCCACTCCTACTCTCACCTACCATCAGCACCTAGAAGTCTGCTAAAAGTCTAAAGCCGTCTGCCAGTAACCTTCTCCTCTACTCAAAACCCCGAACCTCGAAAACCATCTCGCTTCAAAATCCTCCCTGTATCTCCACCAACCATGAACTTAACTCTAGCCACTTCTCCTCTCCACCTCAAAACCCCTTCTTCCTTCAACCCACCTTCGCTTCTCCATTTCACCACTCTCAAATCCCACAATTCCACTTCGACCCCTCCTCTCAAAATACCAAAAGCCTCCTCCTCCTCCTCCTCCTCCTCAAATGACACTTTCAAAAACCCACTAACCCAAACCCTAAAAAATCTTACCAAAACAGCAATTTTGATCGGTGTTACAGCTTCCATGGCTGGTAAATTCCCTGTACTGCCTGCAAAAGCCGAAACCCCGGCAGCTCTCACTGAACAAAACCCGACCCTCGAAGAAGAAGAGGAAGGCATAGAGAAACATCAAAACCAGAATCAAAGTGACGCATCGACTCCTTTAGAAGCATTCCTAGAATCTAATGCTGAAGCAATTGAGTCTATAAAATCACTTTTACAACAGAAGCTTGAAAAGGGCCAAGACGAAGAGGCTTTACATATTTTAAAGCAGTTAGTATCTGCGCAACCGGAGGTTACTGAATGGAAGTTTTTGATGGCAAGATTGCTGAATGAAATGTGCCGGGTCCAAGACGCTCGCAATGTGTTTGAAGAAATTCTCGTTTCGAATCCCTTGTCTTTTGAGGCATTGTTCGAGAATGCACTATTAATGGAGCGCAGTGGAGAAGGAGACGCGGTTATTAGGAGGTTACGAGAGGCTTTAGATATTGCAGAAGAGGAGAATAAAGTGAAAGAAGCGAGGGACGTGAGGTTGATTATGGCTCAAATACAGTTTCTGCAAAAGAATGTGGAGGAGGCGCTGGAGAGTTATCAAGAGTTGTCGAAAGAGGATCCTAAAGATTTCAGGCCTTATTTTTGTAGAGGGATGATATACAGTTTGCTTGATAGAAACGAGGAGGCAAAAGAGCAGTTTGCCAAGTATCGCGAACTTTCTCCAAAGAAGTTTGAGGTGGAGGGATATTTGAGGACCTCGTTATCAAGGATGAAGCTTTTTGGGTCGAACGAGAAGAATTGAGTTTTGGTTTTTGAAGTTTTGAGTTAATAATGATTTCGAGAATTCAGCTGCTCTCCAGATAGAGAAGGAAGACATTGGATTTTTGGGTAATCATCCTCAATTTCATTTAGTGAAGTAGGTTTAGTTATTTACTATTCGTCTAAGTTATTAGGGTTGATGTGGAAACATGGTTGGAGTTTCACCAAGGATAATTAAAAGGAATAAAGAAAAGAGGACCGAGTTTAATAGAGCTGTAACACATACATTGTTGCTACAGGAATGGTTTCGATCATTTCTTTTGAGGATTGTCTCCGTGTTAATTTTAAAAAACTACTGGCTTCACTTGCAATGCAAGCTTTCTTGCTGGCCTATCTTTCTTTTGTTTGGAATGTTATGGTCTTAACATATTCTTGAAATCAATCTTTAAATGTGGAAATAATTTTATAAAAAAGTTAAATAATATCTTTGCTGTGCAAATTTTCATGATTTCGTAATGAATTGTCAATCTCCAATGACTCCAAAGTTGATGCATTCTTGTAATACTTGAGATGATCCAACCTCCATGATGTGAATATAAGAGGAAGAGACTTGTCTCCACGGTTCAATATTTTTTGAACGGAACTCTTTCTAAGGCTCTGTCTTAAAGTTCTTTTTTAGAGAAAATACCATTCTATAAATGGAGAGAGAGTACCCTAGGAATGGAATTTCTTCTGTTAGAACAAGGTTGGTCAGACCTCCCATTCCTCTTCAGCTTTTATATGTTTCGACAATAAATGTTGTTATTCCTCTTTTATGGTATTGCGCTGTCTATGATGTCTAATGGTGGGCATGGTTGGATATAAATACTAGAATTTTTAAAAACCAATGCACTCTGAGGCAATGTTGTGGATAGGTAGTTTTCATTTCTTTTTCGTAGCATTATGATTCGTGTGCTTTTAGGGAAGTTTGCTTGGAATCATTCAGCAGGATTGGGCTGCTCTTTTATGACATTGCTTTTACTTTCACGTTTTCGAAGATAACTTGTATTCTCCATCTTGCTTTTGGAATTCTTTTCAGTTAATTAGTATAATTGTCTTTATCGAGGACAAGTTTTATTTTTTGTTCTGCTTCTTCCTGGATTACTTCACTTTGATCTGAAGGGTGTTTCTGCGTGTGGCAATGAATTGTGGATTTTTTTGACTTGCTTATTTTGCTATTGAATTTTAGAGTGAACAAATGTTATGCATGTGGCTGGCTGGGTTATATATAGAGATTATTCATCTGCATGTACTCATTCCTGCTAGCATTACACAAGAATTATGCAGTGTATGTGTCGTGCTACTTTGGGAAAAGGTGGCTAGACACTTTCCATTGGTTCTTTACAATGACAATGCCATGGGTGCACTTAGACCTCCAATCTTTGGAATGGCCACACTTTAGTGGACCTTTGGGAGATTCAAGTCTGTTGGAGTACAGTTTATATCTGGACTATTCTTTTTTCACTATAAGCTGAACGAAAACTTCTCTTTTGTCTTCCACATCAGAGTTTCAGTCATTCTCTACAAATTTTGCTAATCTCTGGGATTTTACAGTTAGCCAGGGATAAATATAGTCTGG